CTTTTTTGAACCGCCTGGATCCCCCCTTTTCTCCGAAACAGCTTTCTTTCAAAACATGACCAAGCTGTGCGGGGCATGCCCAAGCACCGCGTGATGCCCCATAGATGGCCACAGAGACCTTCAGTTCACCACATGAAACAAACTAACAAGTAGTAGCTGAACAACGCATGGTCACAACAGGTAGAAGGACTTACCAAATAGTGGACGTGCCAAAAGACATAGCAACACAAAAAATAACAGCCAACAATTGCGTTCCCCTTTCAAGGTTGGCCCCACCCCTTTCAATTTTCCCCTGTCGTTCTTGGGACTCTTTATCTATATGTTTGCATCCAGCCACCCCCATACGACGCAAGGATGTGTGTCAGAGAGACTCTGAAATGAAGTAAGATGGCACCTGCTTGTTGTGCTTTGTTCTTGGCACTTGTGAAAGCAACGAGTTTGTCCCTGGCTTGCATGCCAGCTTGTTCTTCAGGGCCTCTGGTCCTCTGGTCCTGCAAAACCTTCGAACCCTTTCCAACCCTTTCAACAGCTCTCTGAGGCGGGACCCACTCATTCCCGTTCCACTTCTCCAAGCTGAATGAATTGGTAAACCTGCTGGCTGCATGACTCATGTCGCAACTAATCTCAAGAAAATGTCGAATGTCTCTTCAAAGCTTGTGGCTTATAGCGCTTGAGGGGCCTGAAGCGACTGTGTCACATTGTCAGCACTTGGCAGTTCCAGGGTCCCGACCAAGGAAGATTCAAACCATTGGGCGCCACACTCGATTGAAACCTGTGACACTTGAGAAAGGAGCACTGCTGAGAAACCCTTCAGGCTCACTCTTTGAGGGACCAACAGCTGTTGGGCACCTATGAATTGATTACATGTTCGCTAAATTGTGTCAGATCAAGCATCTGGATTGTCCGGATTGAACCCCTGTCCATCCCGCTTAAGCAAGAAAAGCTTGGCAATCTCAGGAAAGCGGAGTCGTTGAGGAGAAGAACAATGCTAAACAACATTGTATTTGTTTTATGTATATTTCCGTTTTCTACAGACCTGGAGGGAATTAAGTCCAAGACCAAAGCGTTCAAACAAGGCCTACTACAATAAATAGGCCAACTAAATTGAACAAAAACGAGTGTTCACAAGCATCTAGCCTACACAAAGTGGAGTCCGAGACAAAATGCCTGATGCTAAAAGTCCGGAGCAGAAAGGAAAGTGTTTCATTTCGTTGTGACTTGATGAAAGGCGCTAACTAAGCTGCCCTCCAAGCCACAAGCGCACGCAGCGGACATTTCGCGGCTCGGGGAGGGACTGGGCAGCGCTAGGTGCGCCCAGAAAACCGAAACACGCTGCATAAAGCCCATCAGCAATGGTTCGTTGGATCCATCAGCAATGGTCTAGATATGGGCGCCATGATGGTCATGACGAGTGTGATTTATCCGGAACATCAACCAAAAAGGGCAAGGGCCCCTTTTCTTGGCCTTGAGGGGCAGGTCGGATAATGGCATATCTCTGACATCGTTCCACAAACCCTACTACAAACAGGTGCCACGCTAGTAGTAACAAGTGCCTTACTGTAGTAACAAGAAGCTATTAGGAACAAGTGCATCGCTACTAGTAACAAGTGCCATACCAGTAGTAACAAGGACGCTTTTGTTGTTGCACTCCAGCGGCCTCTCCTTTTCCTCTGTCCCCTTTCTCGCTATATGCGCCCCAGTTTCACATTGGGACCCTGGAAGGATTTGCTAATGGGCTTCTCTGCATGTGGACCTTCATTTGCAATGGTTTCAGAGAAAATGGCACAAACCCCAAGATGTCTCTTAGATGGGGGCCCATATACACCACCTTTTGGGGAGTCTGTAAGTCTTCCACCAACCATCCAGTCACTAAGTCACTCTTGAACAGGCTGCTTCCTGATAGCGATGGCCTCCACCCTAAGACCTCCAACCTAATAGCAATGGTCTCCCTATTTCATGTCTCTGAGAATCTCGCCAAGCCAATCCAAGCAGAACCAGCAGCGCAATTGGAGCAAACCTGAGGGTTTGTCTTGCCACGGTGGCCCAGTTCGTGTGGTCCTTCGATCATATCGGGGCATGTGATGTGGCACGAAAAATGTCACTGACCATCCAAACCATTCATGCTTCCCTCCAAACAAGGGAGTGCGCAATTTGCTCAAGGAAACTCACCACAGGGATTCAAACGCACCGAAGAAAGTTCAAACCGCTGGACAAACAAGCTTCAAGGCTCGGCCTTGGCTTAGAGCCCCGGGCCGACCACCAATCTGTGAGCAGGTCCCAATCGAACGCAAGGAGTGTGCTGCGAGAGGGCCTTGGGCGAAAGGACACAGAAAGAAAGACACGCAGAGAGGTCAGCAGCATCGCCGCTAGTAGAAACAGAACAAACAAAGTCTTCTATGTGGTCTTTGTATATATATATATATATACTCCTTTCACACCTGGCACTCACCAGTCTCTTTCGCTACAAATCCCTGGATACCTATCACCGAGCACGGAGGGACACGAGGAGGGACAAGAAGTCTCCACATGTGTTGATCTTTGGGTGTCCGTGCTGAAAGGGGTCTTGCCCAGCTGCGATCTCCATTCCAGTGACCTGGCGGGATGAAACATTGGAGGGGGTAGGGTTAAGCAAGCAATGACCACTTGGACCCAGTGCATCACAAGGACTTGGGGCCACTAGCACATGTGCTCAAAGAGCTCAGCCTGTGAAGCCCCTCAGGCAGCTTCTCTTTCTCAGCCCTGACTGACCCTTTTGGGCAACTGAAGAATAAGACCACTTTCCCCACTCGACTGTGAGCCTATCAAAAATTCTTCCATGCGACCTGTTCACATGCTTGAAACATTGCTACGGCAAACAAAAGGATTGATTTCCAAGTGGAGGCATACTTGGCCTCGTTGAAGCAATCAATGTACTCAAAAAAGTGGAGCTCCTGCCATGGAGAAGCAGCGGCACAAATCACTACTCACTATATAATAGTAAAAAAGGGCATCGCTACTAAGGAGCAAGGATGCTACTAGTAGCTCCTGGCATTACTACTAGTAACAAGCAGCTACTAGTAGCAAAGGGCATCGCTACTAGTAACAAGGACAGCGCGTCACACAGCGCAAAGGAGCGTCGGGGTTCTGTTTTGCTGGCGAGAGAGATGACTGTAGGCCCTTAGGCGCCTTTGCACGTAACCCCGTCCCCGGCCATAATGATATGCGATGCCACTTTCAAGACCACTTCATATCCAAATGTTTCAAGGCTTCTCTGCTTACTTCCTGAAAGAAAGAAGGTATCAAAGCACGAGGTCATGAGGTGAGGTCCGGGGTGAAGGTATCACGGTGTAATAACTGCCAAGACATGCACCGGGTAGGACATGGTGGTGAGATGAAACCGTTTGCGTAAAATGATTTACAATGACGACGACGTCTATTCACAATGTCATGAAGATGTCACGGCGACGCAGCAAAAGAGTCACAGGTTCGTTTTCGACGGCAGAGAGCGCGCGTCCTTCAAAGCCCAATGGTTCAACAGGCGGTCAGACCTCGTTGGGTTTAAGAGCATGAGAACGAGACGAGATGTCCACAACATGGGCACGTCAATCTTCGGAACGTCGTGAGAAATATCATGGATTCCGTAGCACGAAAAAAAGTCTTCACGTTCCGTCCGTTTTGCATAAATACAGAATACAGAAGAACAAATAAAAGAATAATTATGCCGTTAGACCCCCAAATAGCTACGCAGAATCCAACGAAGCAAAAAAGTCAAGTTCTGTAGCTGTTGACATGGCCGGCTGGACTAGCATGTACATGCAGCCAGCATATCTGGCAGGAAAAAGGTAAGGCCCCTTCAAGAGCTAGTTGTTCTTCTTATGCTGTGTTTTTCGTCAATAAACATTCCATGCGCCTTACTTCTGCCTCATAGGACAACAAAAACTTTTCTCCCAGGCCCCAGCTGTCAAACACATTGTATGTTGACTGCCTTTGCAGCGATCTGAAAGATGTGACCGAGGCGTGGTGGTATCAGCACCCACGACGCAGGAAGGATGAGCAATCTAATTAGATCTGCAAGTCCAAGTGGAGGCCGGGAATGTTGAATTGGACAATATTGCTCTAGCAATGCCGAAGCATGAGTCGAAGCAAACAGCAAAATTAGGCGCATAACAACTTTTAATAAAACTCGATGGCCATCCTTGTGTTCAATAGTGTTCTCACAGAATTCCCAATCCTACAGCATCCTACCCACGCCAAGGATTAAGTGATCCAGGCTGCACGGCTGCACGGGGCATTGTCACATGTAGTTGACAATGTTGACACCAATAATCCTTCTTGTTACTACTAGTAAGGCACTTGTTACTAATAGCTTTTTGTTACTAGTAGTAAGGCACTTGTTACTAGAAGCGATGCACTTGTTACTAGTCAAAAAAATGTCATTTTGTTTCATGAAATACATTGGATGTCAATGTCATCTACGTGTACCCTCGTGCACACACGCTTTCAGTCACTGGGACGCTGCCTGTGTCGCTGTACGGTGGCACGGTAGAATGTGCTCTGTGCCAGTGGGCCCTCAACCAACTTGTACAGCCACAAAGCACCAAAAATCTAGGAAGATTTCACGCAAAAGGCACATGGTTCGCCTCCACTTGGTTGACGCCGCTTGGGCTGAATCTCTGCAAGCTGGTAGCTTGTGCGTAGTACTGCAAGCTATCTTCTACAAACACCTTATTAATGGTGTGATAGCTTTCCCTTGCTGATGCCATGTGTTAGCCACAGCTGTTCGTAGCGGCGCAACTTGGGAGAAGAACACGGAGATAAGTTCAAGTATAAGTGATACAGTGCTTCGCACATGTCAGGGAACTGGAGAAAATTATTGGCAGCATTTCCACCTGCACTGAGCTCCAGGATTGCTGGGCACTCGATGTTCGACCATACCGGCCATCTCAGTCAGAAGTCTGATCTTTTTAGATCGCATTGGTTGCATCAGTGGTTTTCGCTTATTTCAGCGATTTAAGAGTCAGTCAGGCAGTGAAGTTGAAGGCCCCGACTTGGAAACCAATGCTACCAGCAATGGCCCCAGTGAAGTACAAGAACTTCTGCACGAGTCCAAGACTAACACAGGTGTCCCACATGAAGAAGCCGCACTCGCTCAAGGACAGGAACCTCGGTGCTTCTCTCTGCCGATATCGGCGAATCGCTACCACTGACCTACTTTTGACAGTGGGCGTCTCACTGTACTATCAGATGCCAAAAGAGTGGTGGTACAAAGAAACATTGGAGATGCAAAACTCTGTATGTGATTTTGTGTGTACGTTCGCCCGCAGCCAGCCGGCCACACAAACATCTGTAAGAAGAAGCTTCTTTGGTGACAGTGGGGTGCTCATGCCAATCTGTGTCTGTCCAGGTCGCATCGCAAGATCCATGTACTCATCCTCCTCGTCCTCATCTGCTTCGCACAGGGTCACCAAAGACGGTAGCCGGTTGCAAGCGGTTGTGGTCGAAGCATGGGTCAACAGGACGCCCGGCAAGAAAAAGGCCATGATGCAACTCGCCAGGATTTGGAGATCTCGTCCTGTTCAGCTCAGAATGCAACAAAAAACAAGAACGCAACCGAACCCCAAAAGCATGAACAATCCTCACTTTGTTTCAAAAAGTTCTTCCTTAAATGCATGTTCTTCAAGAAAAGGCCTTGGCGGAGATCATAGAGAGCCATCAACAGGAGTATCACGATCCTTGGGCAAAAACAAGTGAAATTCTTTTAGCCAGGGGGGGTAGGCCGGGTAGCTAGTAGAAGAGGTAGCTAGTAGCATAAGTAGCTACTACCTAGGACGCGGGATAGCTCGCGCCTCTTCAAGGAAGCTCCCCTCGCTGCCCTCATTAGGGAAACTTAAGGTTGGAGGCCATCGATGAAGATTCCAGCTTAACTTGTTGGGAGTGGGCAAAGACATCAAAGACGATCTGAATAGAGTATATGATTATGATGGTTCAGTCTGGGGAAAGGGGAAACAGTTGAGGCGGGACATGGAGTCGTTGGAAAGAATGAAGCTCAAACCCAGAGTCCCACCATCCAGTGTGAACCCTCTGTGACCATTGTGAGAACCGTAGACCACATGGTTTACCACACGGGTGTGAGGTTCCTTTGGACCTTGAGACCCTAGCAATGGCCAACCTAATAGCAATGTTACTAGTAGCGTCCTTGCTCCTAGTACCGATGCCCTTTGTTCCTAGTAGCGTCCTTGCTCCTGGTAGTATGGCCAGGAGCCCCTAGTAGCGTCCTTGCTCCTAGTAGCGATGCCCTTTGTTCCTAGTAGCGAACATTGCTCCTAGTAGTAAGGCCAGGAGCCCCTAGTAGCGTCCTTGCTCCTAGTAGCAATGACGTGATATGGCTTGCACGGAATGAGTTGAGCAGCTGTGCTTTTATCTTTGTTCGACTCACTTGGTGCCGAGCTTCGTGGAGCCCAGCGCAGCAAAGCATCGCTCAAAGGTCCGGGAGGTCCTTCGGAAGAGACCACTAACGCGTCGCCACTGGCGCTTTGCTTCCTCGCAAAAGAGAAAGGAATGCCAGAAATACATGCAAGCAAGACGCTACTAGGTGGAGGCCATCGCTACTAGTAGCAAGAAGCCACTGGTAACAATGCAAGCACTGGGACCCATCAAATGCATTTGATGCTCTAGCCGCTAGCCGTGGGTGTTGCACTTCTTACGACCCAGTATTTCCGAGGCAGTGTTGAGGTCTCAGCCACCGAAGGGAAGGAGGATACTTGAAGTCCCTATGTTAATACGGCTACGGCACAGCTTGCATTATGTGCTATGTCAGCTATGGGTGCACATGCATTACGTGATCTTTGTGTGCGCATGTTCTTTTGGTCTTGGTTAACTTATGAAATGTTGGGTTCTATTTTGCAAACTTGCAGTTGGCCTTGACAGTTCCATGCCGCTTATGCCAACCGTTTTTTCACTTTTTAAGCCCGGTGGGGGGTAGACTGCGGATAGAAGAGGCCGTTACTACTTAGAAGATCTATTAGCTAGGTACAGGACGCTCCTACATATGGACGCAGGATAGCTCACCAACTAATCATTTGGTTCCTAGATTTCGGTGACAACTTCATTTCATGTCAGGCCTCTTCTGTACCATCAATCGCAGTGGTCCTAGTCCTTTGCACAAATCAAGCCTCAACACACGAGGTGGATGTGTCATTGTAGCAGGTATAGGCTTTCAGGTTCGCACTCGCTTTCAGACTTGCAAACGCTGCTGCAATTGTTTCCTTGTGTGCTTGCTTGCTTCTAAAGTTGTCTTGTTTCTTGGCTACTCCTGAATATAGAACAAACTAAACATAGAAGGTTGCCTGATAAGCGGCCGACACTGCATAAGAGGCTACATTACACATGTAATGCCCCACCTCTAACCAGCAAGCAACTAAAAGCATCCTCCTCTAAAGCACAGTTTGCCGCTTTGTTGGCTTGTGGTGGCTAGCTACAGTTCTCGTTGACAAGCAGAGCCAGGCGCGACCCAACCTTTTAGGGTGTGGCTTCGGCAAGAACAAAGGAAGATCCGAATGATCTGAGCTTCAGCGCAGCTTGCACCACCCACCAACCAGGCGCTCCAAGAGTTGACAATAAGGAGCATTGCATGGGAAGTCTTGACCTGCCACAAGACAGGAAGAAAGCAAACGGATGAACATGGATACAGCCTGAATTATCTAGGAAACTAAAAAAGATAAGGCATAAAAAAGCAACGAACAGTTCACCTGCCAAAAGCTCGCCACCACGAGGATGCACGTGCTCCAGCTTCCAGTGATGAAGTAACTCATGGCTCCTGTCAAGCACAAAAACTTGCAACAGAGACAAGAAGCTACTAGGAACAAGTGAATCACAGTAGCAGCTCAAAGCGCTCAAAGCACTTCGTCCTTTCACTCCTTCAAGCTCGTTCCCAACTCAATTGACTCAATTGACTTAAAGACTTGTCAAAAAAACGGCCCTGATTCGTCAACGACCCACGCCACTCCACTCAGTGTCACTCAGCGACTGTCAGACCTCGGCCAGTAAAGCTCCCGTCGTTTCTGCCTTCTTCATGCACCATGAAAGCGTACAAATACCAGCGGCCCGCGTTGATCATGAGCCACAGCAGCACACACCTGGCAAGGTCCAGACCCTTTTGCACAGCTTCGACGCTGGCAAACAGGGCCGGCTAGCCATGCTACTGATAAGTATCTCATAGCATATACTGGCATGTCACACGCATGCATACCATGTACTGATAACATCTGCTGACATTGACGGCAATACTCAATGCCGACAAAAAGAACAGCTAAAATAACAAAATGTTCCAAAGGATGCTGACCTCAAAGCATCGCAACAGCTCCAGATCTTCCACTGAACATCCAGGTCAGTTTGCTCACAATACACGTGTAGTTCCCGCAAGCTCCGTGCTGTAAGTTCTGTGTTCTCCTGCGCAGTGAAACGGGCATTTGAAGGACTTTGGTGAAGAAAGGGAATTGTTGCAGGACTACCGCAACAATGCCTGGATACGCGTTGCAAAGGCTAGTGAAGGCCTTTCTTTTGACTTCAGAGCCTGGCTCGAAGCCATAATTCTTGCTGTCACTTGGACACTGGTTGCGGAGGACCAAGGACCAAGTAGCGGTTCAGAACGCACGAAGTATCGATCACCCACCCTAAGGTGGAATCAGGTTCGGGCCATAATGGCCAAATGAAACACATCATGAAACATACTGACAAGTGGCCTGGTTTGTCCACATGCAAACTCACACCGGTAAAAGGTGTTCTAAACAAAAGGAGGACTCGCCAGCTTTTCAATCGACCATCCATTCCTCGTATGGCAGGTTTCCATATTGTCTTCTCCAGGACATCATATCTTCCTGAAGGGTGGTGCCGCTCAAGCCATTTACTCAGCGAGGAGTCTGAGGAGTTGGGTTGCAAAAAGCGCAACAAGGACGTCGATCGACACGGTGAGCCTGCTTCAGGCCATGGCAATCAGCTCGAGTGTGGAAGGTGTGACCAAAAGGTGTCACGTGGGCGCCCATCGTGATGGGACAGTGAAGTGGTCCAGGAGTTCCCCGTTGCAGCGAGACAACAAGGCTTGGCACCGTCGGAAGGCCTGTGGTCATTTCTTCAGCTTCTTGCTGCTCTATGCGCCACTGTTCCATCATCTCGTTGTGATGCCTGCGGGTTTCCGCGTGGGCCTCTGCAGCCTTCACCAAATCGTTCTCAAGCTGCGAGATGTAGCGGTCGAACAACAGGCTTTGGTCATCCAAGGCGCTGTCAAAGTGTCGCTGATTGCGAGCTTGTGCCACCCTCAACTTGACTTTCAGGTCGCTCACCTGCCTGCGGCTCACAAGGAGGGTGATGACGAGGACAAGGAGGAACAGGTAGGTCAGGATCGACCATTCCTCAGCAGGCTCAGCTGCGTGAAGTCACCTGAGGGCTCGGCCGTGACAGCCTTGATCTGTGTGAAGTAGATCATCATCGCCATTGAGGTTCTCAGGGACGTAGAGCTAGGCCATGGGATAGGACCAGACTCGATGGCTTCATCCTGCTTGGCATACTCATCCTCATAGTTCGACTCTTCCTGCACGCTGTCAAGGTGTTCGGTGGAGTTGAGTTGAAGTTGTGGTGGTTTGTGTTGTTTTGTAGTGGTCTTCTTCTTCACCTTCGTTTCGGCAAATTCTTGCCGGCTTTCTTCACGTTCTTGTTTGCTCTTTTTCTTGGCCGAGGTGTACTCTGGGTCCCAAGCCAACTTGGTGCGATGTCGTCTTAGGTGGCCAGCTAAGAGGCTTCTTGTAGAGCTCTTTGTCAAACCATCAGCGAACTGCCGTTCGCTGCTGACCCATTTGAGACATCCTCTGCTCTCAAGGTATGTGCGCTTGTCCACTGATGAACTTGCGGAGGTAGTGGTCTCTTTGCGCCATGCATCGTAGAGAGCTTTTGCATCAGTGACCATGGTAGGTCGCAAAGGCGAACTTTCTTGTAGTCGTTCTCGAAGCTTTGGCCGCGGGTCAAAGATGATGGACCAGAACCTGCAGATGTATTCTGGGCTGTCACTGGCGCCGCCAGCTGCTTGAGCTTCGGCACTGAGGCTGGAGCGAGCGACTCGAGGCAGTTTGTAACTGCGCCAGTCAACCACATGGTATGGTGTCTCTTGTTCAAAGACCTCCTCTACCACGAGAATTGCCAAGTGACCTTGTTGAGAGGTGTGGTCCTCCCGAGCTGCATGGGAGGCATCAAACATTACCACCAGGCGGATCTTGGAGAGGTCGGTGTGGTTGTTGACAGACTCAAAAGGCTCATACTTTAAAGTCACATCAGCATGTTCCTTGGCAAACTTGAGCAAGGCATTGGCTTCCATGATGGCGCGAAGTTTTCCGGTGCGCTGTTGACCACTGATCAAACTGCAGCTGGCCTGCAAATGAGGTTGTGACTGGACTGAGGGCCATTGCAGACTTCGGACCTCTATCATGTTCATTCATCGGGTCTTCAGGTCCACGTCCTCGATGAACAGTCACAGGTTTGACCTTTTGCATGAAGTGGCTTTGCGACAATGTCCAGCTAAAGTCCTTGCGGTTGTGGATCACGCCACAGTATTCCATGGCTTCATGGTCTTCTTGCCAACTTCTAAAGTCAAAAACCTCTTTCAGACGACGTTCAGCTGTTCAGCTGCAACATAGGTGGGGCAACTGCGATCTCCTGCTCCAAGCATGTCGTCTACGTGGAGTGCTATAAGGCCACAAGGAACGGTGGATCCATCGTCATGGTGATGATGAAGTACAAAAAGACATGGATCAAGGTCATGTGGTGTCCACCCTTCTTGAGTTAGCCTTCTTGTGGCCTCTTGCCACCAGAGACGCGGTGCATCCAGTTGTCCGTAGACAGGCTTGATCAATGCCATGCGGGTCAGGGCCGCATCCAAGGATGTGCAAGGAGTCAGCTGGAAGACGAAGCCAAAGTTGTCTCGTCTGTGGCATTCCTTGGAGGAACGCGGTTGCCACGTCGGCGGACCAGCCGCTCCATCACAACATGGCAGAAATAGAGGGCAGCAGATTGCGAGCCAATCTCGACGCCGTAGGCGATTGAGTGTCCAGGATGCCAGCCAATGCATCAGCATCGTTGTAGCCACGAACAACCAATCGGGCCTTGGCTCTTGGAGTGCCATCTGAATTCTTTGCACATTTCAACAGCATTCGACTTGACAGGGTTCGATCTGCGTCAGCCTTGTTTGAGGTGGTGAACTCCCAGACTCCGCATTCGAAGAAGCTGCGAAGCTCTTTGCACTTGGCCTCATAGAACAACTGTTGTTCTGCTTGAGTGAGGTTCTTCTCTCGAATCTCCGACTTGCTATTTTCTCTTTCTTGATGTGTCGGAGTTGTTGGTTCTTCATGTGCTGAGCTGCCTTTCGAATAGGCTTCAAGGAAGTAGGTGAGCTCGAAGACAAGGTTGCAGTCATGCCAAGTTCTTTGCGGGTCACGGCATTGATCTGGAAGATCGTGCATCCAACCCACTTTGGAGGTAGACCTTTGGCGGCCTCTTTTTGGAGTGTCTCTTGAACACATTCTCGGTCTTGAAGTGGTCTGTAACCGCCGAAGGATCTTGGCCAGACTCACGAAAGATGGTGACTCTGATGTCATCGAGTTTCTCCAAGGGCGCTCAAAAGTCAGCCTGATCGCCTGGTAGAAACTTCTTCGAGCGAGGTCGTACATGATGGCGAATGAGGCATCCTCCCTTGACTTCCCAGAAGTCAGCCAGCTTTTGCTTGAGCTTTCACCAGTCTCGTGAGGAGGCTTCGCATAAGGGCTTGGCTGCTCATTATGCCGTGGTCGTCGAGGACCAAAGGACAGGGTTTCTTGCTTATCAAGTCGTAGTCACTGTTGCTCAAAGGTCTCAGGAGCTGATGGAGTTCTGTAGGCTTCTGATGTCACCGGGTCGAGATGCAGTGGAGTTTGAGGAATGCTCGGAGGCTCAGGCTCGATCGAGGGCTCTGGCATGATGGCCATACTCTCGACTGCTTGGCGTTTGCCGCTTGCCGTAGAAGCCGGTTTGGACGTATAGAGCTCGTCTGAGTGCATTGTGCTGTTTTGTGAGAGGTTGAGCCACATCGCATGCATGCTGGGGCCAATGCAGCACGAGCTCGTCCTTTTGGATCTGTGGGCTTTGCTGGAGGTCGGTCATAGCGGTAGGTGCTACTTTTCCCCGTTCCTTTGCCTTTGCCTTTCTTCCCTTTTCCCATGCCCTTGAAGGGCTTTTGCGAAGAGGTAGAGCTCGATGAAGGGCCGGAGTCCTGGAGAGCCACCACTGGAAGAAATCCTCTGCTGAGCTTCAAGTCGTTGAAGCATTTGTGAGCATCAACATAAGAGGCGTATGCCTCATCGTACTCTTCGGGGTCAATCCCATGCCCGTGCTCATCAGGTTCTTCCTGGTAGTAGGCGGCGTCGGCGTCAAAAGACTCCCACCATGAATCATCATAGCCTTCATCATCGTCCATGTAGCAGCATCATCCTCTTCCTCCTAGGTTGGGGCGTTGTCGCCCCATTCGAAGAAGGCCTCGGCGTCATCACCGGCAAAGTAGGAGCGACCCTTGCCGGATCCAGCACAGTTCCATCGATCTCTGAGGAATTG